AATGATCAGAGTTATTACCCCAATATTTTTAAAGCAGAATTTAATGGATAATCATACTTTCTGCAGATATACTTCAGCAGGGCATATTGCAGAATTCAGGAATTTCCTGAATTGGTATGTCATTCATTCCTGGCAAACCATCACCTTTGTCTACATACAGTGCATTTTTTTCCACACTAGAAATGCAGTCACTTGATTTAACTTCTTCCATCACACAATTAAAAAGAATTTTTTAAAATTCCTACTCAGCTTTTAGAACAAGTCAACAACTTCAAAATGGTATGATAGGCAAGTTGCTTGACCTATGGGCTTTAGTTCTTTATAACATAAAAGACCTGAAAGACTTCCAGAGTGTCTTCCAACCCTAATATCCATGAGTTTTTATCATTCTTAAAAAACTTTCCTAGGGAATCATTAATATTGAGGCATATTTTTAAAAGGTAACTTACTCTTAACAAGAAGTCTGTTTTCATAGATATTCATTTACCCGTGTCTTAAACACAGGAAAATACACCATTAGATATTCAAGTTTATACAAGTTTCCCTCAATTACGCCATTTTCTTTTTGATAGAGAAATTCAATAGTAATTGCATGGTGATAATAGTTATGTAAAAAGAATACAAGCGCAATGTCAACAATTTAGTATTACCAAGTTCTTCTGCAGGAACAAGGCACTGGCAGAATATCATTGTGAAAATGTTTATTTACTAAATAACTTTGATAAATTAGAAATTTTTCCAGGAACTCTTAGAGAATGAGGGACCAAACATACTGTTAGCATACTGAAACTTAAAAAAGAGAATTAAACTCTTGCTCTCCCTTTCATTGAAACAAGCCCTAAAGAAGGTGTTATTCACACACAAAAATAACACTTTTATTCAAAAGAATTCCCAAAGGACTCAGCTCTATGCTGCATCAAATAATATGGCATGATTCTTCTACCCTGTTAATGATTAGGTTTTTCTAGAGAGCATCACCTTTTTAATTCTCTTTTCATGACACATATCACTGAGATGCTTAAAAAGGGAAAGTTAGAAAACTCTCCTTGAACAATAATCATTGAGCTGTGTGGACTTTCCTGTTGGCTTTATTATTTATTTATTTTTAACAAGAGAAAATAACCAAATTTAACACATACATATGTATGGGAACCCCACATATGTGAGAGAGTCAGAGACCACATGCAGAAGAGCTTCCTCTGTTGGCTTTCTTTTTTTAAAGCAGTGATTAAATATGCTAATAAAAATAACTGAATATATTGAGAAGTCATAAGTTTATTCGCTGACATGCCATGAGTTTTGAGTTTCCGGAACCACTGCTTGATTTTGAATTACTTTTACTGCTACACTAACAAACCTGATCCCTCTGGACAACACTGGTAGCACTTACCAGGATCTTTGTAATGACACAATACGATCACGTGTCAGGGTTATGGTGATCATCTTATTCCTTTAAAGACAGGGGGCGGGGGTGGGGGGGATTACTCAAGGAGAGGAGCCAGGTGTCATTTACCCAAGTATCTTTCCCAGCACCGAGCCCCATGGTTTTTAAACAGTAGGTTCTTCCTAAATCCTTGATGAATAAGTAGAGCTCAAATATTCATCATATATACTAGTTATGTGTCAATGTATTCTTATATAGATATATTTTATGTCCCTAAGGTAAAATTTAACCTTCAAAAAGCACGTGATTCTGATTAGTGTTTTGGTTATCTTACCTGTTCAATGAGCAAACTCCTGGTGACCAAATTATCACAAATACTACTGGCTCTACAGGACTGGATAGGTTAAATAGAGCAAGCAAGCCAATGGAAACAAAGTGAATTGTTAAAAATAAGAAAAAATATTTCTCATCCCATTACAAGGTAAATTCTAGAAGTGTAGACTTTTTCTGACTCGTTTACTGCTATATCCCCAGTTTCTAGAAGTATCTGGCACATAGTAAGCCCTCAATAAATATTTTGTGAATGAATAGACTACTGATAAAATATTATTTTATCTGCGTATATCTATTTAATTCAGAATGTGAAACAATTCATGTGTAGAGTACAGAAGCTCCAATATAGGTTCACACTGAAGTCTGATTCTGGCAAAGCTCTAGGATTTGGGATTACCAACTGTAAAGAGTAAATTTACATCCTAGACACTGGTCAAGCCTGGGGTACATCAAATGCAGGTAAGAATTTCAAGTCATTATCCCTGCGCATGTAGGCCATGCCAGAGCCATTGCCAGCAATAACAAGTCAGCTTTTCTGGCAAATCCATCAAAATTAAACCTTAGACTTTGGGGGGGGGGGGAAGTAACTAGTATGCTTATTATGTTCCTTCAAACTTAGAGGCTTAACTATCTGTGGGAAGGGCCTATAATTACGATCAATTACTTATGGCTTGGAGGCACTTATAAAGGCATCTGCCCTTTTAAGAAACCTTTAAAGAATCAGGTGATAATCCTGTGGGGCAACAACAAATCACAAGTTTGGGGGCTCAACTTTGACAACTCTCCCTTGGAAAGAAAAGAATTATTGTCACCTGTCCTTGATTTCCTGACCCTGCATGAGCAAATATCAGCAATCTCTAAAGTCCAGAATTCCTAGTCTAGCCAAACAAGTCATGGGGGTCAATGACTACTCCAAGGCAGAGGCAGAAGACAGGAAAGGGAAATGAAGCAAACTGGGAGATCTGCAGCTTGTGAGGATGACACCACTGAATTTCACTGCATATGCCTGATGGGCTTTTCTGACAAACTACAGGCTCATTATATTCAAGTACTTTCTTGGTTCCAGAGTCTATAATGTCTGGGTTTGAGCACGATTTGTTCTATCGTACAGGTCAGGTGAACTGATGTCTTACTGGGAACTTGCTCTGAGGCAAGGACCCCACTCTTCTGCCTGAACACAAATAACACCTGGACATTTGGGACACTTTTAAATTGACAAAGCATTCTCATATATACTATCTTAGTTTCTCCTCCCAACCTGCAAGAGGTGTCATCATCAACCCTTAACATGTAAAGATAATTTTAGAACATGACCCATGTCTTCAATTCATAAGTATAGCTTCCTGAAAGTTCTCAGTACAGAATCCAAGTCATGGGTCAGTTAGAAATATCTGAAGACACACCGATCTCAGGAGGATAAGTCAAGAGAATAAAATAGATTAGCCAAAATTGACTAAAACAACGGCAAAAACAACCTTCCTTTGTTACAAGAATAGACCGTGTTTTGTATAATTAAAGATAGTGTAAATGGGTGCCTCTACAACACTGCCACATTGGAAGGACAGAATCTTATTCACATACATGATGATCATCCTTGATTGGACACTCTCCACAGCTGACAGAAAAAACAAAACAAGAATTTTGGTCCTAAAACTCTAGTGGTGGCATTCATCCTTCGGAAACCACCTGGGTGATTCCTCTAGGATGATAACTAAATTATAGGGGACAAAAATGTACCCTCTCCTTTCTCTCCAATATCACTAAGACTCCCCAAGAGCATTTTTGTTGTTTTTTAATAAAGAAAACAACAAAAGATAATCTATTGTTTTTATACGTGATCCCATCTTCCTAAAAACACCATTCTTCCAGCTCATATTTTGTCCCATTTTGTTTTAGTGGTTAAGTGGAGGTATAATGGGGGTCCTTATCTTTATAGCCATTGACCACCTTATGTATTTATGGTTCTTTGCTGCCTTCTAGGCTGAGTCTGTGTAGGGAACAAAGAGCCACACAAATCACCCAGCCTGGGATAAGAGGAGACAAGTTAAAACCTCCTAGGAAGATTCTGTAGACACTAAGGCTCCCTGAGTCTGTAGAGGGTTTGGTATTTCAAAGGTCAGTCTTGGGTCTCTCCACTTTGATGACTAATGTTAAATTGTTTGACTTGTTACAAAAATATTTAGCTGTGCTTATTTACATATTTTCATCCACAGGGCACACAGTAGGCACGTATTTGATGAACAGAATCCCTAGACCATGAGAGGACATGAGCAAGACCCCAAGGCCGTTTTCCAACACATTATTGTAAGAGTTGAGAAAGGTAAAAATCACACTCTAACTTGTAGGAGTTTCTGTGCATTCCTTTCAGACTTAAAACTATGCCTCTGTTTAGAAAATAAAAGGAGAACACCACACACAATGTCAACCACACAATGGGGAAATTCCAGGATCACTAAGAAAACACCATTATCCTAAGTTACACACACTTCACCGCTGGTTACCACACAGGAGAAGCTTTAAGAACTGCTGTCTCCCCATCCACTTGCACAACCCTCCAAAAAAGGCAAAGACAGACTTTAGAATTTAGAATCTAAAGATTCCATGTCTTGAACTCATTTCTACCCCTTTGGAGTAGTCCAAAGACTGTGCCCGCCCAGAGACATAAAACAATACAGACAGACAGACAACATTTTTGGAATAAATATTTTAAATGACACTTGGAAAATGGGAATCAGCACTTTAGTCCTTAGACCATCAGGAATCCTGGTTATCATTATGCAATTTTAATAAAGAGAAACTGTGGGTGTGACTGGCAAAAATATTAAGTCTCTGCATTGTTTTAACCTTATTCATACTAGGCTCCACCAGTAAAGTTCTCTTCTAATTATCATTGCATCCTGCTACCTGTCACTTATCCTTAGTCTCTCAAAAATTCCCCAATGACCAGAGAACTATTGGGGTGGGGGTGGGGTGGTGGCAGAGTGTGTCTGAAGTTGGTTTGTTTTGTGCCTAAAAGGCACCCAATTTCCCAGACCCCCTTTCAGGCCACGCAGGGAGGGAAGCCTGTGCAGGTCACATTTTCTGATTCGTCTTCCTGCTTGCTGTCTGGCAAGGTCATCGGCTCTGGTGTGCGGCTCTGTCGGCAAAACTTGGTTTCACTCCGTAAGGTCAACGGATCGCGCAGTACCTCCCCAGCCGCCCTCCTCCCCAGCACTTTCCTGTGCCAGTGGATATCCCCTGCCCGGCCCGACCCCGACAGCGCAGGCACAGCTCTTCTGCTCACCTGACCACGTTGGGGTGCTCGAAGGTCTCCAGGTGCCTCAGCACTGCCACCTCGCGGATGGTGGAAAGCGGCATGCCCTCCTCGCCGGTCTGCACCCGCACGCGCTTCAGCGCCACGAAACGGCCTCCGTTCTTAAGGTCCCGGGCCTTGAACACCTTCCCATAGGCGCCCTCACCGATCTCCGCCACGCACTCGTACTGCTGGTCAGCGCGGCTCAGGCCGTCCTTCTCCATAGCGCCCGAACACCGCCCGGCGCGGCGCCGCTGGAGCGGGCTGGGGGCGCGCTCGGCTCGTTTGCGGCTGCTGCTCACCTCCTCCGGGATTGCCCGGCCAGCTCCCTCGCGCCCTGGGGATGGATGGGTCTAGCTCTTCGTCACCCCTGGCGACTACCGCGCTCCGGCGTTAGGGCTAATTATCGCGGCCGCCGGGGCTGGATGGAACGACCTCCCCGCGGGCGGGCGCAACTCTGGTGCCGCCGCGAAACTCCGCCTGCCGAGTCGCAGTGGACCTAGCCGATCCCTCCTCTTCCCTCCCCGAAGAGCAGTTCTCTGCACAGACACCGAGGAGATTACATAGTCTCTGCCAGAGCGCGTCTTAGTTCACAATCATTCCACCTAAAAGAGGAGATGAGGGGACAAGGAGAAAGTGCAATCAGACATCCCAGGCGCCTTCCTTGGGGTTCCTGCAGACTCCCCTCCTCCTTCTCGAATCCCCAGTCGCTACCCTCCGCGCGCTCCAGCCCTCTCCCAGGCAGATAAATCCTTCCTGGTTCCTCCGAGAAAAGCGAAGTTACTTTTCTCTCCCTGTAGGGCTGGAGCCGTCTTCGCGCGGAGAGGTTGCAGGGGCCCCTCGGGGATGAGCGCGCCGCGCGGCGCGGGACGCAGTGGAACGGGAGGGGGCGTGCCGATCAGCCCAGAGTGTGCCGGGAGCGCGGGGGAGGGGAGGCGCCGGGCACGTCAATGTCACGGCTTAATATTTATCCCTATATCATTGTGTTTCGCTGCTACCCTCTGTGCCTCCCGGAGCCTGGACGCGCAGGGAAAGGGGCTTCCTGGGTGCTGTGGGTCGTTCAGGGGTTGCCCACAAGCTGCTGTGGAGGGACCGTGAGTCCACCCGTGTGGGTCCGCTGAGTGTGGGTGGGGGCTCCCAGGACCTTGTAACCCGATGCTTGGGAGTGTGTGAGAAGGGGTGGTCAGACATCTGCTCAGAAATTGCTTCCTTTCTTTCTACTTTCAGTTTTTCTATGAGGAGACATTTAAAAACGACTTGGATCACAAATGGTCTTTGGGGGGGTAATGCAGTCTGGGTTGGAAACGGCATTCTTCCTCCGACTCGGAGGACCTCCCTGGTGGAAACCCATCAGGTCAGGGAGAACTAGGGTTCCCGCTACTCGGGGGATGGGTGAATGGTGGGGCCCTAGGTGGGGAGTCGCTCAAGGACCCCTGAGGGTGGGAGAAAGGGTGTTTTCCATATTTTAACTAGTCTCTTTAAAGAATAACGTCAGGAGGAAGGTAACAACCGTGACTCGCCCAGAAATTTCCAACCGATTGCAATCGGAGTAAAACTCAATCTCCCCAAGAAAGCGGGCGGGGTGGAGGGGAGTAAATACTGAGACTCCGGGAGGTGAGAGAGAAGAGGCTCTGCTCTGGCGGCCGGGATTCGCGAATCTTTCCCTAAGCCAGGATCATCTACGATGTAGGTAGCAAACTTAGGTTTCCATTCCCCTTTCGGCTTAAGGCCTGGTGCGTTCTGCAGCCAGTCGTGCCCCGGAGCCCTCCACACAACAAAGTGCGCGGGATGGCGGTGGGGGGTCACCTTCCTTTCCCATTCATTTGCAATCCTGTACCCAGGGAACCTCCAACCCACGGGAACCGTGGCCTCGGCGGGATGTTCGCCACGTGTCCGGAATTCCCGGGACACCTCGGAATTACCTGCCCAGCACCGCTGGCTAGCTCGCCTCCTTCCAGAAATTAAAGAAACAAATGGCGCGACCCCCACGGGGTGCAGGCAGAGGGAACCGCAGCGAGGATGGAGCCCCTCACAGCCACTCCATTCAAAACTCTCCTGAAAGAGGGAAGGCGAATCCTGGGGGCGCCGAGGAACGAGCCCCCAGAGGCTGCCCGGGGGTCTGAGCTAGGCCGAGGGCCACACAGGTAGCGGAGAAGCCGCCGCCAGCGGCGCAGCCCGCCCTCCCGCGTCCCCCCTCTCCCCGCCCCTCCGCCAAGGCTAGGCAGCGAAGGAAGCGTCGCGGACGTCCCACCCCCGCAGGGAACTGCGCCCGCTGCCCCCGCCCGGCCCCGCACCACCCGCCCTGGCTCTCCCCACCCTCGCTCCCCGACAGCCGGCTCCGGCGGAGAGAAACGGGAGCAGCAGTGCCTTTTCCCCCCCTCTCCTCCACTTTTTTTGTTGTTGTTGTTGCTTTCCCACGCTGGCTGAATGTGACTTGACCCCATTTCAAAAAGTTTGACATAGTGCTTCAACATTTCCGCATTCCTCCGCGACTACAAAGGCTGCAGCCGCCTCCTTCTGCTTTCTGTCTCTGCTCTCTGTCTTCACACTCAATGAAATCCTTCATGTGCCTCTCTCGAAGCCTGCCAAGCACCGCAAGGGTCGCCACCAGCGCAGCGACCGGAGGCCGCAACGGGGACCGCGGCTCCCGCGTGTGCGCACACACGGACGCGCCCACGTGCACCCAGCCCCGCGCGCGGGGCCGGGATTACCCCCTGCGGGGCCGGAGTCGCCTCCTGCGGGGCGTGCGTTTCAACTCTGATATTTGAAATAATAAAAATAAACTGGGAAACTAAAGCAAACGTGAGTCCCTGCGGGGCTCCAAGCCTGCGTACACTCTTGCAAGTGTGCCTAACATGCCCGCAGGGGTTGCCAACGTGAAGCCTCGCGGTGGGAAGGTGGAGCCCACACCCACACCTCAGCGAGTGGGAGAGGGATCTCTCGTGGGGAAACCAATATGGGGTACGGAAACACATCTCCCGCAGAGTACCCGGAGGCAGTGCATTTTCAACCCTAAATGTGGATGGTTGTGTGCCCGAGTGAAGTCTAAATTCCATTTGAAGAAACTGGATGAGGTTTGTGTGGGTGTTTTGGCTCACGGCTCTGTGGGAGAAGGCAGAGCAGGATCTCAGTGTTGGGGGTATCCCTAGTGTGAGATGTCCTCCTCTAGCCAGATTAGGAGAGATTCCTTTAGTTCCCCCAAACTGGCCCCTGTAACTTCCTCGCCTCGGTTCCTAAGGGGTTAACCAAAGTGGATTCCCAGGGCATACCCCCCCCACCCCAACAGACACCCCCCCACACACCCTCGCTTTCAACCCTGGCCAAGCCCCCAAATGCCCCCCGGGGAGCCCCCCCCCCAACTCCGCAGCCCACCCACTCGAACGCACAGATCCTCACCTGAGGGACCCGGCCGCATCCGGCCTCCCTAGGGGTCTGCGTGTGTCAGTCCGACCCCCGCACGTGTCCACGGCGGCGCGGAGCAGGTAACCCGGCTCGGAGGAAGGAGTCACCAGCACTCTCTCCGGCTAGGGGGTGGGCACAGCGGCGGAGGGCGGAGGGACGCACAGGGAGCCGCCCGCGCCGCTCGCAGGGGGCGGACGGGGGCCCCGGGGCTCCGGCCGGGGCTCGGGGCCCGAGCCGGGGAGGCAGCAGGGGCGGGGGCGGAGGCCCGGGAGGCCGACTCAGCCCGAGACCCACCGGGCGGCGGGGTTAGGGGCTCGCGGCGCAGTGGCAAGCAAGTGTGCAAATTAAAGCCTTCCGGAGAAAGAGGAGGCGGCCGGGATCCGGCTGTGCTCTGAGCCTCCCAGCTCCCCAGCTCTCGGCTCCAAGTGGGGGGCGAGGAGGAGCGGGAGGGGGGGCAGTTAAATGAAAATTTCCGGCTTTCGCTGCAACTGGAGTGGGGGAATCTTGTGACTAACATAAGAAGCGTGAGAGGGAAAGAAGGATGTGTCGTCGGGAGTCCGCGGAATTTCCAAACCCAGGGTCGCCCCAGAGTTGGAGTTTTGACAGAGTGAGGCGTAGGTATCAGCAGTTTGAGATGTAGAAGGATGGGAAAACACAAAACAACCAACAATATAATTTTGAGGGGCCGGTGGGGATGGTAAATACCCACACTTTACAAGAAACTGAAAAATCAGACCGAAAAATAACTCTTTTCTATTAAAAAAAAAAAAAGTTTGGCAGGACGCCTTGCAGAAAAGAAAATACTAATGTGTCCAAGCACTTTTCACTTTCAGCATGAGCTACATTTGTTTTGTTTTCCTTCGCTTCCTTTCGGCCTCACAAAGCCCTATCTTTTCCTTTTGGACAGAGGATATGATTTGGAAATTGTCAGGCACTCTTGTGGTTAACGATCTGCTTGAAGGGACTGGCCAGTTCACAGTTACTAAGTGGTTAGCAAATGCTGAGGGTTCACGAAGGTATTTCTGAGGAGCTAAAAAAGACTAAAATTCAATGTAAATAACAGAACCGCAAGATACCAGACACACGCGCACGCGCGCGCGCGCGTACACGCGCGCACACACACACACACACACACACACAGACACACACACAAAGAGAACGTGATTCAGTGGGTGCTCAGTTTAAATGCATTATTGGAATTCTGAAATTTGAAACCTTGTAAGAATATATACTTTACCTGCTGAGAAAACCTGAATACAATTATTTCAGGTGAAAATGACATTTTGGAGGTAATAAAAAAAGTCTTCAATACTTTCTACCATGGAGTAAAACAAAAATTAACATAACTCTTTTTTTTGGAAAGAATTCGGTGTTGTCCAAAACCTGTATCTGCAGAATACTTGAAACCTTGAAAACATCTTAAAGCAAAGTTTAAAAAATTATTTATTTCAGTATTCTGTGGAAAAATGAAAACCTAGCAAAATTCTATTTGAATTAGAAATACAACCTCTATAAATCTTTTGACTTTTTCAATTAAACCATGTTGCTAATTTCACACTAGATCAAAATTTTACCTTTATAAAATTTATTCTATACTACAGTGTGAAGTAACAGGTTAGGTAAGTAAAAACTGTTGCATTTCTATCAGCAAATATTTAGCAATGCAGTATAACAATTATCTTAAATAATAAAGTGAATATTGTGTTTCTTTATGCTTAAGATAATTCATAAAATACATTTTGTGTTTAGAAGTATATCTCCTAAAATAAAATCCAATTTCTGAACAAAAATTTGTATTTGTAAAGATATCTATAATCTCATATGCCTTCTAGACTTAAGAAAGAAAATTGTTTAATTTTATATTTATATAAAATATTGGATGAATACAAATCACTAATTAGACTTTATACCAGAGACACAAATGGGAATCTTCCATTTTGATCATTGTTCCCAATTATCAATGCTTTTAAAAACAAGATTTACTTGCTGGTAATCAACATGTTTATGTGATTGAGAAATAATTGTTAAAAGATAATCGTAGGAAACCAGCAAATTAATGTAAGAATTTATTTAAGTAAGTAATTTGTTTTAAAAGTATTAAGCTGTAAATGTCTTTAAAATTAACAGAAAATTGTCTTTTCTACACTGCATTGCATTTTTAATTACTGAATTTGACAACAACTATAGGTGGATTAGAAATCCCATAATTTAGGTTACTAGATTACTTGGTCAATGTAAAAAACAATGTAACTTTATTAAATTACACATATTAATACTGTTAACTCTCTTTATGTCATCTGCTTTCTCTGATATGGTTAACTTACCATTGTTCACTTTCCCTGGTTATGGTTCACAGTAGCATCTGGTTGCTTAAAGCTTCAGACCAGGAAATTTTACAATGGATTTTATAAAATTAGCAAATACCAGATTGTTTTTGTTTATGGATAACTTCCTCTGTGGATAACAGGTTATAACAAAATTTGTGCAAAATTTATAAACTGTGAACCACGTTCCAACTCTTTTGTTTAGGAACCTTCGATAAATGAAAGTGTGGCACTCAAGAATTTATTTGCACCAATATTTTCACACTGCATAGCAGATACTCTGAAGTTGCAAATAATTTTACAAGTTTTTAAAAATTAGAACTCACAGATCTGTCTCCAAAATGATGTTGTAGCTTACACTGAAGTTTTCTTAGTGTCACAGAAGCGATATATTCCATGTTTGAATATTTCATATAAAATATCTGTAAATATTTGTTTTCACTAAAATAAAAATTTTAAATTCTGGTCTATAATTTATGACCTTGTTTAAGAAATGAGTAATTTATTTAAAATTAGTAATTATATAATATATATCTAATTCTAAGTGATCTCGGGATTCTATTAGCTATTTGAAACTATAAAATACATTTTCCAGGAACTCAGAAGTGAAGTTTTGCTATATTCTAATAAACAATAATTTTAATTGGAGGTCCATGTAAATGTATACTTTTTGTCTCCTGTTTATTTATTTGATAAAAAAAACTTTTCTGGTTTAATAACTGTGAAATCAGTTACATTTATTTTAAATTTCACTTATATGTGTATGTAAATGTTATGTTTGTTGAGTAATTACCATGAAAACAATAATTTTAACAGAAATAGCATAATAAAGTGCAGTGCATTTTAATGCATTCTCCCTTCCCCCACCAGACAGTTCCAAGGTGTTTTGGGTTTTCTCAAATTTCCAATATTTTATTTTAATATTATATTAAAATAAAATATTGGAAATTTGCTAAATATCCTAGGAAAAAAATCATTTCTACTACCACCTTTCTCAATTGTAAAATTATGAACTTTAAATGATTTTTTTACAGTTCAATCTTCTCAATAAATTACTTAATATCAATTTGGAAATGATCTATCTTTTTCTTTTTGTCCTCTTGCCTGTGATCTAGTGTATTGCATTTAGCAGTGAAACTTGAAGAAATTTTGGTATTTGCTGTGAGGGAAAAAAATATATATGGTGTAGTATCATATAAATTTAAGGAGAAAAAAAACAGACAATAGTATCTATTAAAACATTCCATCTTCATGGATTCTACTGCTCTGTAATTATGCTTGGGTAACATGTCAGTACTATGTTCATATTTGTATAACTGTCATCCTCTTTCCTGTTTTCTTCCCTTTTGATAGACACTCATATCTTCTTTTTTCCTTTGTGTGTGTATGTGTATATCTGTATGTTCTTGGCATATTGTTGTGACATGTTTGAAACGTGTTCTTAAGATCCTTTCATCAACTATATTAGAATTCTGAGTAATCAGAAAAATAACTATGGGGATACAATTATACAAGTTGGTGATAATCACATGGAAATACCTACATTTCCTCTCCAGTTAGTGTCCTGTATTTCACTGACTTCTAACATTTAAAAAATAAATAAATAGTTGCATCTCAACTGCACAGATGGCCTAACAATTGTGTTGCCATAGCTGCTTTTGGTTGAGCTACAAGGTGTGTACATGTTTTAGACAGACCATTCAGACAAAGCAGTGAAGGTAGAACACAGTGGGGAGAGATGATGATAAAATGGGATCTGGGAGGTAGGACGAAGGACAAAGAAAGGCACCTCAGAAAAACTTCTGTGAATGGCTTGGCAACAGGTACAAGTGAAGAAAGCACATGTTGAGGTCCTGGGGCCAAGAGATGTTCCTCAGTGATATAAGTATGGCATATTCAGGCAACCTGATTCTTTCAGAATAAACAGTGTTCTGCGTCTCTCCTATTGTGCAATAGAACCTGTCTTACGGAATGAGATTGTATAATGTATGTGTCCAGACACATGTAACTATTTTATGTCATTTCATCATGGCTTTCCCCTGAAAATAATATACAATGGAATTCTTTGCAGAATTCTTTGAATGCCTAGAGAAAAAAAGTATATAATAACATCTCTGTGGATCAAACATTTTACTACAAATTGAAGAGAGGGTCCAATTTTTAAATTCTATTATAAATTTGTTCAAAGTTACTCATAACTTTTTATATTCAGTACCTATCACAGTAACTGGCAAATATTTTATGTCCAATAAGTGTTTCTCAACAGGAAGATTGGCTTTATATCTTTTAATTTGTCTTCTTTAGGATGATTTCTTTCCATTTCCTTAAGGGGGATATAATAGAATAATTTTTAAATATGATCCCAGCAAAGTTTATGGATCAGGTGTGCTGATTTCAGGACCTCAGAAATGTGTCGTCTCTCTTCCTTTCCTTTCAGCCTATTCTCTAAATTCTATCATCCTTTCAAGGCCCAGCTCCTCCTTTAAACTTAGAAGATTCCCTCATCTGATTGACATCCCTCTTTGCTCTTACTCCTTGAGGACACCTGCTTTCTATCTTCCTAAAATTGAAGCTCCGCTATCTACTACCCTGAGCTCCCAGGAGAGTCTATCATGCCATGTTCACTTAGGCAAAGCTCTAGCACCTGGCTGTGCCACCTGGCCATATAGTAGGTGGTCAATCAATGCACCAGTGGTTCTTGTCTCTTCAGGAGTGTGAC